GTGAGGGGACAGGTGTTAACAGCGGATAATCTTCGAAGAAAGGGATATTGTATAATGGAATGATGCTATTTGTGTAAGAGGGATGGGGAAACGATCGATCACTTATTCACCCACTGTGAAGGTGTTCGCTGGCTGTGGAATGATATTTTGGCGTCGCAACATATGAGTTGGGTGTTCTCAAGGGGTATCAAGGAGGTGGTGTGGGCATGGAAGAGAAAGTTCGAGATAAGAATAACAAGCTTGTTTGGGATCTCATTCCAGGATGCATCGTTTGGTGCGTGTGGAGAAAAAGAAACGACAGATGCTTTGAAGATCAAATNAAATGGCAGATGCTTTGAAGACCAAATACGGACGACAGAGCAATTTAGAGAATTGTTTTACTTGACTTTGTATAACTGGTTTAAGTCTGCAACCATTAGTCCGATAGAAGAGTAGCCGAATTTTTTATCGTTTCTATCGTGTATAACCTGATAATGCACTCCTTGTGTGTTATATTTTATTTTTGATTTATAAAATTTACGTGATTACCTATCAAAAAAAAAAAGTGAAGGAAACTCTTATTATTTTGAACTTTTTGTAACATCGTGTTAGCATGAAAAAATGTGGGGAATACTTTGTTGTATGAAAAAACTTCCCTAATTTATTGTCCCCATAAATACATTAGATTAATGTTAGGAATGTTCAACCGCCCCGTTTTCCTTAACCTAATTACTACTTCAACCGTCCTTTCAACCAAACATGGCTATTTTCTAGGGAAGTTGATGGAAAATGAGTTGTCACTGAAGACAAATAGGTGGTTGAAAGTATCCAGAATGGTTACATTTTTGCAGGAAAAGACGGGGTAAATGAGCATTTCTTCTATTTTTAAATTTTCCACTAGCCCCATTGTTGGAATGCTCAAGCTCAATATTATGCATATTGCTTGTGTTTCTATAAGGTATTTGCAATTCTTTCCTGGATACCATATGCATGAAAAATTCAAACAACTTCCTTTGACCTTCCTTTCTCTTGCCCATCACCCAAGCACTAACTACTCATTGGACACTAGGAAGGTTAATATAGTCAAAATAAATTTCTCGTGTTTGTTCGGTTGAATAAATTTTTTAACAAAAAATAGGTTCAGTTTAAATTTCCTCGTGAGCTTCCTAAATTTTTGGGCCAGAAGCATTGGATATTTTTCCTCCAGAAAAGTATTTTCAATTATTATCTTTTTACCCTACACAAAAATATAAATGGGAATTTTTCTGAAATAGTCTTTTTTTTTTTGGCCAAAATGAAATGTCTCTCGCCGAAAATTATATTAAATGTGATAATTCAACGATTTTGGTGCCCTTTCATTAAAATGTTCACTGGGCAATCTATGCAAAGTTGATGAGTAAGACTAGAATGTCTAAATAGACTTGGAACTCCTTAGTTTTGCCTAGTTCAATGAGAATGATTAGATGGTTTTAAATTCGTGCAAAACTAAATTCTTGTCAACTTTGTCTACTTTAACGAGAATGCCCATATGGTTTGGAATTCCTACAAAAAGAAAGGGAGAGATTTGGTTACATATTTGAAGAGAGAAGGGTAGATTTGTCAAAAAAGGTTCAAAAGTTGGACATGATGTACATATCCAAAAGTAGTGGACATAATTCATTTCTCACTTTCAAGTGTTCTATGGGGATGACCTTCCTGCACTTTCTTTTTCATTCCTATAATAAGAATATTTGGGTGTTCAGTATCCCTCTCAGAAGGATAAACTTGCGCTTCCTGTTAACGCTAGCAATCACGGCTAAAATAAAAGCTATGTGATCCAAGTCTTCCATTATCTTGATTGTAATGATTTACACATTTTAACTAGCTAAAATCTCGATCTGAATTGAATGTCCTTGTACTGATTGGGATCTTGGTATGTAGCCTGCCACCCTTTATATATATATATATATATATATATANGATATTCTGAGCATTCAAGATTTTAACTGGTAATAGTACTTCGTTACTATTGATATCGAGTAATCTGAATTTATGGTTTTTCATCTATATGATGCAGTGCAACTCTTGTTTTCGAGGTAGAGTTGGTGGCTTGCCGACCTCGAAAGGGCTCTAGTTTAAGTAGTGTTTCAGATGAAAGGGCTAGATTGGAGTAAGTTATCTATGTTGTTTCGTTGTTTTGTTCTATATGCTTTTGAGATTTACCAGTTTTGTTCTATATGCTTTTGAGATTTACCAAACTGTGTAATTTTCTAGTGGTACATCAGCTTTTGACCGAAATCATTAATTTTCACAACACATTGAATAGGGAAGAATGTAATGCATGAAATGTTGTCACAATCATCCACCAGAATAAAGAAAGTTGCAAGTGCAATAACGTACAACCTGCAGCAGTAAAACTTCATGAAATGTGACCAATCTGTGGAAAAGTAGTTGATTGATAATTGTAATCAGGAATTCTTGATTTTTTCCTATATGATAGGGTCGAGTTGATTTGATAAATGTAGTGCAGTAATTACAAGTTTGTCCTAGATTAAGTCCATGTTTGGCTAATATCTATAAACTGCTTATAATATGTCAAACCTTTTTATCCACAAGTTTGTAAGACACATAAGTATTACCCTCTTATCTACCACTGTTTCTATCAATTTATAATTTAAGCTGATTATAAACAACTCCCAAACATGCTTTAAGTCAAACAGTGCTTGTTTCTGGGCTACACTCCAATGACGTGTTTTGCCAGTTGAACAAGATGGAATTTAAGAGAATAAAGTTCAAACCTTATTTGTTGTCCTATGTATTCTTGTTCATTTGCATATACCAAAAACGTATGAATATGATGTACTAATTCAGTGTACCCTGCAAATTCTTCAGGGAGCTTAAGAAGCAGAGAGAACTTGCGGCTGCTGCCAAAGAGGAAGAGAAGAAGAAGAGGGAAGAAGCTAAGGCTGCGGCCACTGCTCGTATTCAAGCCAAGCTTGAAGCAAAGAAAGGTCAGGGCAAGGGGAAGGGCAAAGCTAAATAGGATATATCTAGACATTGTCCTATGCAGAAGACATATTTTGGATATTATATGTGGAGTCATCTACTTTTTATAATTTTCAGTATTCAGAATACTGTTTGAAGAGGGCCTATAATCTTGATGAGCCAGTTTGTGTATTACAAAAATATTGATAGTCGTGTTTTTAAAATTGTTCTCCATATATTGCCATTTTAATAAAAGATTTCTTGTTAGAAATTTTCTCCCCAGGTCTAGTTTAACGTATCAACTATGTTCAATGGAGATTAGGTTCTTTTTTGTGTTTATGCCTGGCTAGTGGTCGGGTTTGGAAAGTCGTAAATCAGCAGTAAATGGTGCTATAACAAGTTGTAAATTATCAAGGAAGCTGTCACTTATTGCATCAACAAAGGAGCAAAAACTATGAGTAGTGTTATTCATCCCCGCTAGCATTGAGCCCCAATTTATGTGGCAATTATATGGCATGATAGATTCATTTAAATACAAAGTCACATGACTCATTTAATTGAGTCTTATCATTTAATGTCATGTAATTGCTAATAGACTCGGGTTAAACCCCAACGGAGATGAATAACATTATTCAAAAACTATTTTATAATGCACAAAACAACAGGACCAATCGAATCATTCTGTGTTTTGCCCAAACTTCAAAAGTAGCACTAATTCCACATTTTATATAATTGACCACCTCTCTTTTTGTACCTAAGAAGTAAGAACTCTCTCAAACGCAGAAGCAGTTTCTTGAACAGGCATAGATTCTACCTATCTTCTTCTAACTCAACTCTTCATTTTCCTTCACACGTTATCCATTCAAATTTAGGGTTCTCTCAAAGCAATCGCTGATTTTTCCACTCAAAGCAAAGAAAACAATCCCTAAGCCTCCAAAAAACTCTCCTTTCACCATAATGTTTCCCCACAGTCAGGATTGGCTCCAAGAATTTTGAGGCCCTAGAGGATTAATTATTATGAGACCTTAAACATAATTTTTTTACAAGCGTAACAACGTTAATTTTGACGGCCTATCTCATTGTTCAAAAGAAATTCGTGAAACAACCCTACAAATTGTGTTCGGTTTAAGGAAATTAGTCTTTATATCTTTCAAGCTCATTTGATCTCTTTAAGGGATTGAATGAATTTAAATTTACAAATTCTACTGTGCTTACTGCAAATAAACAAATACACAAATTCCACAACATATACGTTGAAATTGCTCGTGACTTCGTTATTGGCTGATGAATATATATATAAGCCCGCCGAGGTGATTCACGACCTTCGTTGAAGTAGCTGTAGAGGCTGACCCTTCGTAAGTCTAGACGAGGTGCTATAACCCGTTGCAGAAGGATTCGAGGCAAATAGACTCTTTGCTGATAAAGAACACCTTCCACCCCACCTCTTCTAAGAGATCTTGAGTACAAAATCTCCCTATAATTGATTGATATGACATCTTTACAGCATATTCCTAAATGGTCAACTATCAATCTACTTTTTAGAAGTCAAACTTAGATTCTAAGGTGACTACTTTTTAGAAACATTAAATGCGCCAGAGCCTGAGATTGATGAACGCCTATGACAAGGCGTCTTGGTTGTTAAGATGAGACCATGTGTCTCTCCATCCAACGGTTATTGTTTTTTCTCTTTTATTATAGAAGCTTACACTTATGTCATTTGAACGTAATGCAATTTTACCCACTCAATAATAAAATTGCTCTCTTATTTTTATCTTGTAAACTCCCAGTGCCCAAACATTATTATAGCTCACGTCTTACATGTGTCCCACATCCAAATATATTCATACAAATTGATTGACTTGATAGTGAGAATGCTCATGGCCACCTTCTTCACAACCGGAGAAGGCCATGTGCTACTAATTGTTTGTCCAAGTGTGCTTGAGCTTGTCTACATGGACGTGAGGGGAGCATAAATCTGTTGACCACGTCATCCGTGCAAAAATCGAAGTCATCAAAAAACAATCCTTAAGCCTCCAAAAAACTATCCTTTTACCATAATGTCTCCCTCCACAGTTCCACTAACGGTTGGCACACCCCCTCCGCAAGTTACCATGGTCCTCGACACGGGCAGTGAACCCTCTTGGCCACACTACAAGAAAACCCTAAACACACTCCGTTTTCACATACCAACACCTTTACCATATTTTGATGGAGTTACCTATACGGTTCAGCTTGAAGGAACTAAGGTTTCTACTAAAGTCCTTCCGTTACCTACCAGGGAGGGTCAGACAATGGTGGAGTCAGTCACTTGGGTACACATTATAGTTTCTTGCTCGGGCAGGTTTACAATGCACTGAAAAACGTATTCACGAGGAGAACGAAGGGAATTCTAAGGCCATTTGAAGGGACTGTGGATTTGTGCTACAGAGTTGAGCTGAATAGAACAGTTTTGCCTCCATTGCCGACTGTGAATTTGTTGTTTAGAGGAGTGTAAATGGGGGGAAATTATTGTACAGATTTGAAGGTGCCAAAAGGGGAAGTGATTGAATAAAACTTTCGGGAACTCAGATTTGTTGGGGTTCGAGGCTTGTGTAATTGGGTACCAAAATCCAGAGCTTGTCGCAGGACTAGATTTCTTACACTAGAAAAACTAGACACCGTGTGGCCTTAACGCAACACAATTCCCGTCCCTACGAGAAAGCGTTAAGTCAGCCTTTCGATGCCCCCAAAATGATTCAACCTTGTAGGCTAAATCAAGACAAACTTTGAGTATGAGATTTGAAGTAACAAAGACAATATCGAGAAACAAGTAAGTTTGGGAGAAAATCTCTCTTTATATAAAAACTCCACACCAATGTAATATACAATGTGATCTAAGAATTATATGAATAACATGAATCCCATAAATTGCATGCCNCTTCTTTGCAAGTGGATTCTTCCTTCAAAAATCCCATGGGAATTATGTCCCTTTCATAGTCATCAAGTTGAGTTTCTCTTCCTTCCTTGGCCATTCCCTTGCAAGTGGGTTAAGTAACCAACTTGGACAAGTCTTTCCAAAATATCCCAAAATATCCCAGCAATCTGCCCATAGTATTTTTCTACAGAAAACCACCTGGTATGCTGGGATTTACTGTCCATGTCGCGCCCATGTCACTCCCCATGTCAGGCAGCCTGCATTTTGTGTTGCTGTGCTGCCTGCGTCGTGACGCGACTGCAGTCTGTGTCTGGCCATGTCCTGGCTGCGTCCTGGATGCTTCCTGCAATCTGCCTGTGACGTCCTGGACGCTTCCTGCAATCTGCCTGCGACGTCCTGGGTGTTGCCTGCAATCTACCTACGACGTCCTGGACGCTGCCTGCGATCTGCCTGCGATGTCCTGGGCACTGCCTGCGATCTGTCTGTGATGTCCTGGGACTGTCTGCAACCTGAATGCGATGTCACCCTGCGTCGCAGCATCTGCCTGCGACGTCACCTGCGTCGCAGCGCCTGCCTGCGACGTCACCCGAATTTTCCAGCCATCACCTAGACATGAACCCGACACCATGGACACCGGTCATCTCCCCACAAAATTAGGTGACACCGACATTGCCATGTACCTTTGGAGTCTAGACCTAATCAACCATAGGTCTAACTCATTTTCCCACTTGGTGCCTGACATTCCCGTGTCATGCCCAATCTCATGTCACTACCATGCGGTCCGTGACAGGTAGCTAACCGTGCTTGATGACCATTATTTCGAGAAAACATAGTTTTGAATAGTGATTTTTTTAAAAATGCGTGATTGAAAAGTAGGAAAATATTTTGAGAAATATTTTATTGTGTAAACGTGTGATTAAAAATAAGTATCAGAATTAAAGAATTTTGAAATAATAATTGTCAAACAGAGACTAAGTTAAGGTGTGATTTAGCAAAAATCAATTTCTTTTTACTTCTATCATCCTTGTTCGCGTCCTGGTGTCTCGGGGCACCTTTCTTTAAAGCAAAGGGAAATGCTAGATGTACTTCATAGCTTACTACAAGGTTTACTACAAGCTGACGTGGCCTGCTGACATGGCGTGGAGTTTGAAATTGGTCAACACAACAATAAAAAAAAAAAAAAAAAATTTGAATAAAAAAAAAAAGACAAAAACCCAGACACCCAGTGAAAAGGCGCCTTCCTTCAAAGTTCAAACTCCCGTCATTTCCCTCCCCTCCCCAGCGAAGCAGAATCCGGGCGAAGCCTTGTAGTACGTGAAAGCTCAGTCGACCTGGCCGTGTTTCACTTGCATTTTTGCAGCAAACGAACAAGAAACAATGGCGTGTGCTCTAGGAGTCGCAATTCAGTTTTCGTCATGCTCTAAACCACAAATTATAAATTCACCACAAATCAGGATCTTTACCGTCAAGTGCAACTCTGTTTCTCTCTCCAACAATTCCTCCACAGGTAATGTTTTTGTAGTCCAGTTCGATTTTAATTTTTTTATTTATGTATATGTGTAATTCGTGTGTGCGTGTTAATGTAGCAACTAGTTTCAATCCTGAGATAAAGTACTTTTCTTGGAATTTTTATATCAATTGTTTATTTTAATCTGTATTGTTAATGGGCAATAGGTTTGGCGGAAAGGCCATGGAAGGTGGCAGATTCCAGGCTGGTGCTGGAGGATGGCTCGATTTGGAAAGCGAAGTCGTTTGGTGCTTCTGGAACCCAAGTTGGTGAAGTGGTTTTCAACACATCATTAACTGGGTAAGAATTAAGAATCTACTATGAATTTATCTCCACTGTGAATGATTGGTTGATAAAGAATTTCTTTCCTCCACTTGCAAGTGGGAAACCGTTAGCAAGGCGGGGCAGTAGGATTTTTTTTGGTGAAACTTCCTATTGTGTTTTATTGGTCTGGTGCTTCAGCAGGTGATCAAAGGCTTCAATAAGAATTTAGTGGGCTACACGTATTTTCTAAGCTGTGTATTATTTTTCCACTATGATAGTGGTCATCTAGGTAGGTAAAAGGGGGCGGGGTGGTGTTAGAAATGTGTGGAATCCATTTATGTTGCAACAGATTCATTTATGTTGCAACAGATTTGATGAGGTTTGATAGTATTTCAAGATTGAGTTACTGCTCAATTTACACAATGTTTTTCACACACAAAACTGCAGAGAATTACATGGATATTTATACAAGAATATAAGGTCTATACTAGGGAGAAATGCTTAGATTAAGCCTTGACTGATACATGAGATTTTCTGTGATTGCAAGGCTGTCAAGGCAAATGATTTTACTGAAGAAATTGATTGGTGCTGCCCCTAGCTGAAGGAAGTTGAAATTGGTGGTGAATGGCTGATTGGTGCTGCCACTAGCAGAAGGAGGTTGAAATTGATTCCAATTTTAGTTTTTGCCACATGTGCCGATGTGCGAAGCTGTTGTAGTTTTTTGTATTTATACTCTTGTAACCTTCTTCATTCAATAATAATAGAAATCATATAGCAGACGTTTTTCTCTGCTCTTCTATCTGCCTCATTTTAGTTTCAATCTCTTGATTACTTTGTTTTAGAATTCATTCAGGTGTGCAATTTTGGCTTGTAAAAGAGAGACATGAGATCCAAACCAGCATTCTACCCAAACAGACCAGTAATCATGAGCAGAAACATCAGATACAAACCAGCAATATATCTAACATAAATGATAAATAGCAATCAATCTAAATTCAAACCTAACTGCTCAAACAACATCTGCCAACAAACTTCCATGTATTGCTCAAACCAAAATGCAGTCTGCAATGAACAAATCAATAAAAATACACAAATATATAAGCAAAAAAGAAGTTCCATTACAAAAGAGAAGCATTACAAACATCAGTGCATTCCTAGATTACACATTGGTCCTATACGTATACCCTAATCTAACTACACCATCCACACTTCACCACTACTGCATTTCCCCACTCCCACATGAAGCAACACGAGTTAGAAAATAAATAAATTACAAATGTTGCATTCATTCAATCCCAGGCAGCATTCATTCAATCCCAGTAGTTGTTGCATTCCTTCAAAACACCAGTTCCAAATGTTGGGTTTTGATTACTTCCAAATTCTCCAGAGCTCTCTTTCCTGTCTCGAGCTCTCCATCTTTATCTTTTCAAGCTCCACATCTTCATCTTTGTGAGCTGCCTTTTCCAGAAACCTGAGGCTCCTATTTATAGACTCAATTGAGGCTCCACTTCGGTTATTAACTACCAACCAACAAGGCTCCAAGTTGGTTGAAGATTCTAACCAACAACGGCAGTTGAAACAGGTAGTTAAAGGGTCCAATCTGTTGGAATACCACTGAACGAATTTCTTCAACCCTTGCACATCCCCATTGCTTTCATCAATGGCAACTTCATCATCAACCTATTTGCTTTCACCTTGAGTCTCCAATTGGAATCAATTTCAATTTCCTTCTGCTAGTGGCAGCACCAATCAGCCATTCACCACCAATTTCAACTTCCTTCAGCTAGGGGCAGCACCAATCAATTTCTCCAGCCCACCCCACCCCACGCCACACCACACCCAAGCCCCTCGAGTTACAGAGCACTTCACAACACATTCAACAATAATCCCAATCCAAAAGTTCAGCTCCCCACTCATGGCCATATAAGGACGATTCAATTGATAACTTACCCATGTTGTCGCCGGCGTCGCATTTGGCCGGATTCCCCTTCATCTCTGTCAGCTAACTTCGCGGCGTCAGCGTGTGGGGGGAAAATTAGAGGGTTCGCCGACCCGTCGTCCAAGTCGCCGGCCAGGTCGACTGAGCTTTCACGTACTACAAGGCTTCGCCCGGATTCTGCTTCGCTGGGGAGGGGAGGGAAATGACGGGAGTTTGAAGTTCACTGGGTGTCTGGGTTTTTGTCTTTTTTTTTTATTCAAATTTTTTTTTTTTTTAATTGTTGTGTTGACCAATTTCAAACTCCACGCCACGTCAGCAGGCCACGTCAGCTTGTAGTAAACCTTGTAGTAAGCTATGAAGTACATCTAGCATTTCCCTAAAGCAAAAGGGGTAAGGAACAGTAGAAGTCTGCTCTTGCATACTGCCTTTCGCCTAATTTTGCTCAATTCTATGAACAGAAAAACAATAAAGATACTCACAAAAAATTGAATATATCGAAAATAGTTTGTTAATTGAATAAGGAAAGCATTAAATTACAATGATTGGTATAGGGATCAACACCAGAATGAAAGAAGTTTCCGAATACGGAATACCAACTACCCAAGTGACACGTTTAAAAAATTGAAGAATTATAATAAATAATTACAAACGTACTTTTACAATTGAAAGTAAGATAATATTTATAAACGTGATCAATGCGAAGGCGTCCATAACACATGGATACTTCTGAACAAAGTTTCAACTTATTTTTCTTCATTAATCATAGAACAAAATTTCAACTTATTTTTCTTCATTAATCATAGTTCCATGAACATGGTGCTTAGGAAACATTTTTACTAAAGTTGGTCTGGTTGATTATCAGATGACAGCATGATTGAAATAATAAACAAATGTTTTTCTTTCTTGTGTTTGTTGTTTGGTGATGTCTAGCAACATTTCTATTTTAGTTTATAGGACATAGACGTCATCTCTTACGATTGATAATTTACGAGTCAGAGACTACGTGACCTGCCCTAATAAATCTACACTTATTTCTTAAAGAAATGTCTAGCTAGTGTTTATATTCACTCGTTTTGTGTAACCTGCTAGTACTAAAAACTATATATAAACACTCCCCAAATACGCTTTTGACTGCAGTTCAAGGCTGGCAGAGACTTGTACCTTGACTCTACATAAACCACCACCGTAGGTACACGAAACGCAAACCCCTCAACTGATCAATGATCTGTTCAAAGAGGCAAGAAATTTTCGGACTCTTCAGCATCTCTTTTTTTGCAGTAGCATGTATGCATTTCATCACGTTCATTGCTGCTCACGGATAAAATGAACTCAGCGTGCGTGATAGAGGGTGATAGGACACCTAATAAGAGTTCTTATGCGACAATGCAGGAAACGCCAAAATATTTGATACATCTAATTCAAATGCAATGTAATTTTATCAAAGAAATTGCTGCCTCCAGCAGTTAGCATGGATTTATGGCATACAAAACATACCCATCACTTAGCCAAGTAGTGCAACACAAGGAAAAGGCAAAAGTTAAAGAGATTGATCAGTCATTATCAAGCTAAATACGAGAACCACGGTTGAACTGTTGGACTGTGATAATAGCAAGTGTCCAATTGACTAAGAACGTGTTCAAGCTGTAATTATAAGTAATCAACGCCAAACATGATTCTTCAAAGTTACTTTTTTAAAACAAAAAAAACTTAATTTTCTAGAAAGTAGTAGTTTACTTCTAACCACAGCCACAGCCAAGTATGCTCTTACAGGAAATACACTGCAGCTAGAAAGCAACTCAAATCCGTGAAGCCTTGAACCAGCAGACCACAGCACGTTAAATCCCAGTGAGACACTGCTAGCCAGGGTTTTGTATCTATCCAATTTGTGACAGCATCGGAAACAAGTACGAATTCAATTGGGATATCAATTTAAGATGGAGACTCTTCAAATATTGACATCTATTTTGCGGTCTATCATAGCTACTCTCTACCAGCCAACTTCAAAAACTAAGCAAGTTAATCATATAATCACAATAAAACAATGATTTCGTGATTTTAACAGTTGACACATTAAAATGCACAGTCTCTTCAAATGTATAACATGTACAATCATATGTGCGCCAAAGAATTTTGCACGTGCTCAAAAGATTTGATTTTTAGAAACAAAACAGTAACACCTTCTTCTGTCATGTGCCAATCATACGCCAAAGAATGATCTACAACAAACATGAAACTTGAACTCATTAGGCTTCATGAACTTTAGCATTACAGAAAACTAATTATACATTTTTATTTTTTTTTGATAACCGTGGATGTCCGGCCAGCTTGCGCGCACCTCGACTAATTCCACGGGGCCTGAAGTTTACGGTCGGGTACTCACCTCAGTGGCCGTGAGGGACTCGAACTGGTGACCATTGGGGAGCAAACCCAAGGTCTGACCAATTATACATGAAAAGGGTAGCATCAAAGCTAACTACATATATAAAAAAATAAGAAGGAATACAATAAGAGAAAAAAGACTATAACAACTCTCAAGTTCAATTACAAATCAGTACATGGGGTTTTTACCTTCTACTTCCCAATTCTCAGAAGCTGATTGACAATTTATTTTGGAGTTATTCTCCTCCATTACTTCATCTCCTTATCCTGTTTTGCTCACAAACCATCTCCATTTTCAGTTATTAACAAAAATATCATTGAGCAATAATTCTAGGACGAACATGAAACTGATCAGCCAACGTAGACCATTCCTTTCCATCTATGATCTATACCATGAATGACAATAAAGTCTACCACCAATTTCATCCACAAATTCAATTCATATACTAGCAAACCCGCTTTCAAAATTCACCATCTACTGTCATTTCCTTCATTGACCTCAAATCCCCATCCTCTACGGCGTCTTGATGTGGAGCTGAAACTACTCCTGCGACTTATTCTAGAATCCAAACTAGAACTAGAACTAGAAGTGGATGATTGATTCCTGCCAAAACAAGATAACAAACCACGGAGAACTCTCCTCAGCCCACCTCTATCCCGTGAAACACTCCCATTCGACCCCCATGAAATCCTCCTCGGAACCCCATTATGGTTAAATCCACCATCCATCTCCGTGTATACAACAGGCAACTCTCTCTCCCCACCTCTCCTCCCTCCCATAAACCTTCCAACGGCGAATCCACCTCCTGGCAACCTCCATATAGTAAGTCCAACGGTCTCATCATCATCATTCACAATCTCGTTCCCTCCTCTATTTACTGGAGTTGTATCGCGATGATAGTTAGTACTCTCATCATCCGTTGGTAATTCGTGTCGACAAACAGGACATGAATTTCGCAATGAAAGCCATGGCAATATGCATTCTTGATGATATAAATGGTTGCAGGGCATTTCCCGAGCTTCACTACCCAAGTCAAAGGCCTCTTTACAAACAGCACAGTGCGATTCAATGGCTATATGTTGATCAACAATCTCAACCGTGGGCATCGATTCAATTGCCGCTTTTGATGCAGGAGGATTACTGTTAATTCTCCCAATACCATTCGCCTCAATTTGGGCCAATTGATCCAGCAATCTGTCAAAACCCGACCCAAGTAGAAACTCCGACATACTAGCGGGTAAGGGACGTAAACCCGAACCGGCACCATCATCATAATACAGTTCAAATCCACCGCCGGCTGTGGCACCGCCTCCACCATCATTGGGCCCACGGAGGACAATCACCGGGTTGAACGGTGACCTATCACCCCCATTTCTCCGGTTCCTCCTAAGCCTCGGGCTGGAAGCCGAACTTGGACCCGACGCGGGTCCCGAGCCCGGATTCCGCATCATGTACATAGAGGCGGCTGGAAAACGCCGTCTGCGGGAGTCAGACAGCGAAGACCGGGTCGAATTCTCGCTTTCTTCTACAAACCCGCCGTTGCAATCAGGGCAAGCAATCGAATCTTGTGTCAAAACCCTAACAAATCGGTTGCAACTGTAACACCAATATGCTGAATTCATCGACATCTAAAATTTATTTCCAAAAATCGAATCTTGAGTATCTCAAATTTTCTTTCAGATCTGAAAATTGCTTTATTCTTCCAAAATTCAAAGATCTTGACAAGCAAAAAAAAAAAATCAAGACTCAAAACACATAAAATTAGAGACGACGAGAGTGGGTTGGTAATAGAAAATCAAAGGGAAGGAAGAAGAGTTTGGGGACGAAGAAATCAGAAGAATCGAATATAACTATATAAGAGGAAAGGACATGTAGGTAATACAATTGTGTGTATAGGGGTAATATGGAAATAAAGCGTGGGGTATTAGCGTGTGATCGACGCTTTGAATGAATAAAGCGTGTTATTGAGAGCGTGATGTTTTGGGAGTTTATGGCGCGTGAAGTTATATGATCAAACTAATGACGTGTCCTGTTATGGTAGGTCAATCAACTGCAAATTTTTGACTGAGAATTCACAGGAAATATTTCATTGGTAGTCCTCGCTCTTTAACATGTGTAGCAAAATTGATCTCTAGACTTTAAAGTGATGCATTTACACGGATGACTTTTCAATTCAATTGCAGTTGTCATCCTTATAAATGGCATTTCCTTATTGTCATGTTTGTTTTTGATTAAAATCAGATTTTAATCTAAATTAAAGTCGAAAAATCAATATTTACCACATATTTTAGGGGTTCCACAAATTTTTAACCACACATTTCAAAAACTTTTATCACGATCTATTAAAAATTTAATTTCAATTCCCACCAAATACCCTCTGTATTTTTCTGATTAAATGGCATGTGAGCTTAACCCTTTTGAAGGAGTAAAGTTTGCTAAAGATACTTTTCAATAAAAAAAATAACAAAATATAACCATTTTTTCTTTTAAGGGAAAGAAGTATGTCACTTTTGTGAACATGGTAATAATAGATTTAAAGTCCTCGATTATAATTAAATAATAATAATAATTAATATGTTTGAGCATTTTCAATACAAATGCCCATTGCACTAAAAAAATTTCTACTAAATTAAAATAGATAATTTGTATAAAAGTTATTTTTCAATATAATATGTTTAAGGCCATATCTAACTAAAGTAACGAAAAAAGTAGATATGTTACAAGGATCATATATGTAGAGGCTCTCCGGAGTAAATATTAATTTAATAGTTTTCTCTCTTCATCTCTCTTCTTAGAGCGTGTTTGGGAGCAATTTTTGTGGGATTTTAATCAAAATTATAGCCGTTATAGTCAACCTGTGGGCCACACCTGTGAGAGGGAAAGTAAAAAATGGTGGCTGATTTGATAGTTAACGGCTAGAATTTTAATTAAAATCTTGATTAAAATTTCTCCCAAACAGGACCTTATTTTATCTCGCTTCAATCTAATTTTTCTTCCATTAAGTATACATTAAAAATAAAATTCAAATTATAGATGGAACTCTAATTTTTCTTCTATTAAATATACATTAAAAATAAAATTCAAATTATAGATGGAACCCATTGGCAATGAAATTTGAACTAGATTAGATGCAATGTCTCGTAAATCATAAGCCTTTTTATTTAAATATCTTCTAGATCGTAGTCCAAGGAACTCATTGTAGATGCTCGTATGGTTGGATTGTGTGTCCATATAATATATTTGATTATTCTCCTTGTACATTATGGTGTACATAAGGGTGTCCCGGTATCACCGTATTGGATGGAGTGTCGGTCCCACATGCACTCCATCCAATAGGATGGTACCGGGTGTCCATATGTACACCTTAATGTACATGTAGCAGATCCTTCATCATTTGTAATAATATAAGTTGAGTATTTGCATAAAGAAATACAGTATGACACAACTTATATTTTAATCATAAATAATTTGTTCATAATCAGTGTATAAAAGTTCACACAGTTATATTTGAATATTGTAGTGTCAACTCATTCACTATTTGAATTTACAATATGTCTCTATCACAAAAATAATTAAATATAACACTAGCATACTTGAAGTGTATTGAACGGATCAAACGTCGAGTTTAATTCTATAACATGGGCATGCGAAAATCAAATTTCATTTGATCATCGGGTATCTCATCTAAATCGCTAGACATTGTTGTTTATATATTTTCACAAGTTTAAAGGTTATTTGATTTACTAATGGGTGAGATCAATTTGATTGATAAATATTTCAGTGAGTTGGGAAATATCGAAAGTAAAGAATACAATTTGTATCATGGTTCATCGTCATAAAAAATGGGTTGAGCGACTATTTAAATGTTTTTTGTTGGACATTTACAAATCCGAGCTTAATATACTAAAATTAGATTGAATTTTCTAGAGTTGTTTAGACATTATCTAGTTATTGAATTTTGGATAATAGATGTCCGAACAAGTTTCTATTGTAGCTTGAAAAAGTTTTGGACTCAATTACAATCACTTTGAAAATGTTGAACTTAATTATAATTATAATTGAAGTTCAAAGACTACGTGTGCAATTAACCTTTTTTTTTTCCGCCTATTTTGACTTGGAGAATGACATTTCTCCTATAAAATAGCATTGGAAAATATGCCCAACGTTTCTTGGAGAGAAAAATTAGAAAATTGTTTTGTTACTTTTTTTTTCTCGGTACATCCATTCTAAAATTTAATTTTTGGTTTAATTAAAAAAGGTGCTCACACATTAGTGTGGTCTTATATTTTGGGACTTTCAAAGTAGCTTGAAATTTGAAAGTATCAAATTCTTGATTCCAAAATTCGAATTTCGTGATTTAAATACAAATCAAAATTTGAGTGTCGAATTTTGGTAAATTCTTAATCTAATTCTTGATTTTGACGTGTGAATGTCTAGTAACAATTTTAAATTCTTGAATTAAAGAAAAATTTGATTTTCTATTTAATTTTTGTTCTGTATTCCAACACTCATAACACCTTATTAAAATGAGAGATGCTACAGGTACACTGACCATTCAAGCTAGCTAGTCAAGCCAATCATTTTTATTTTTCATTCTTTTGGGAATTTATGTGATTTATATCTTGTGAGAGACGAGAGGTTGTCAAAAAAGTTTTGAAGATAAATAAGTATTTTTAGCCAAAAATTTGATTGTTTAAAAAAGATATCAATCTAAAGAGAGAGAAGTTAGATTGAGAAATGAAAGAGCCCATGTTTGACTTTTAATTCATTTTTGTCTCTCTTATCAACCACACGTTTTCTCAATAAAATAATATTATATATAAATTCAAAAATTCTTTACTTTTTAACCACACATTCTTCAAAAAATATTATTCTAAAATCAATTTTTTTTTTCAAATAATGGAACTCAAGGGCTGATCATTTTTTTTTCTTTTAATAATTAGACAAACTGGATCAACCTTTATGGGTTGTCGAACTAATCAACCAAAATCGACTTAGTCTATTCATTATGACATGCCAATCCATGAATCTGGCAATCGAGACAACTGATTTTGATATTATTTTTAAATTATCTAACTGTTGGAATATTAATCCAGAAAGAATGGGGGGAGAAGAGACCAAAAGCAGTAGTAGCAAGAATACCAAAATATGGAAATAAGGCTTGAACTCATGACAAATGATTTGTAGGATTGAACAAGCCTTGAAAAAGAAAACGCTTGTGTTTTTCTTCCAAATCTCTTTATCGTATGGAATGAATTATGATAACTTGTATCAAATTGTGTTTAGAAATGATAATTATTTCCTATATATAGTTTTCAATCAGTACAGCACGAAAATGCTCCAATTGATTCATGAAAAGTTGAGATTTTTCATGAAAAAACGCCAAAAACAAATCTGAAAAGTAGCCCACAATGACTAGTTTTTAACGTCATGCGTAAACATGGTAAATATATTTTTGCTCCCGTTTCAGCTAGGACGAACAAAGTAAAGCCCTGTTTGGGAGAGATTCTCAAAATTATACAGTAAATCAATTCTCATTTTCACACACATTTTTCAATAAAATAATATTTTCCATCGCATCAATAATTTTTTCTTCTTTTTCAACCACACATTTCCCATCATATTACTATTCAAAATCAATTCTTCCCCCAAAAACCCCTCCCAAATAAGCACTAGATTTCATTCTAATTTCTTCATTCCTTTTAATCTCATTATAGGCCCATTAACCATGTGAACAAATACATGGGAAAAGTACACAATTACTACACTATAATTCTTACAATTCAAAACTAAAAAACTTATCAAATTATTTCAAAATTCAAGTGTTAATTTAAAGATATTGCTACATGTACATAAATGTTTACATAAGATATTACATAATGTTACATGACACTATATTGTTTGCTAGTTTAAAATACAATCATTTTTTTATTCAATCTTTTCTCTGCACATCATTTTATGTAATCCCTTTAAGAACTAGTAGCATAATCCTTAATTTAATTAATAATACACACACAGACAAATTGGCATACATTATACCCCACCCCACGGACCCCATCCACCGGACATTCCTCACCTTTGGAAATTTTTCACAAATTGAAAACATCTTGTGGAGATTACACCCCACCCCGTCCCTAGAAAAATTTCCAAAGTTTTAAAACGTTTTCAGAAGATTACACCTCACACACTGACTAACTGTGCTTTACGGCCAAATTTATTATTTGTGACCATACACGTGTTATATATGATTAATTGTGATTAAATTTATTTTCAGTGTAACTGTCTGTGACTATCTAATTTGTGACTATATGTAACTAAGTCACCAACTTAAGTAATTGGTGATTAATTGCGACCAAATTTGTCACCAGTGTAACTGTTTGTGACTAGATCAATCACATAATTGGCCACAACTAGTCACAATAAATACATACTTAGTCACATAGGATCATCACAAACAAATCTGCACACACCGCAGACAATCTACCACAAGTTACCATCATCGCCTCCAATGCACAACTACTAATACCTTCAACTTAAATCCGCAACCACAAATACTAACTTCATTGATATATGTTATCTGTGACTTACTGTGATCAAATTTATTTTCAGTGTGATTGTTTGTAACCAG